TGTTATTATTTTTTAATCATTTAGTACATTATTATTTTAATTATTTAATCTTTTTAATTACAGTACAAAGTCTTCAATCCGAATGTCCATAATCCGAAATGATCTATAATCCGGACCTCAAAGCTACAAACTTTCTGCTCATGCGTAAACGCAGGCCCATAATACATTTATGCATGCACATAATACGTTTATGCATGCGCATTTAATGTATAACGGATGGTATAAGCTAGGCTAAAATAATCTAATTATCTATTTCAGTTAATGTTGCAGATTGCGTTGTTCCTTAATCTTCTAATTGGATCCGGCTTTATTATTTTTTGCAGACTGTTAGAGCAATTTTATAAAAGTAAGCTTGAACTTTCGATTATGTCAAAAAGAGTTTCCGATTCTGGAACTGCCAAAGGATCTACAAAGCGAAAGCATGTTTCGATGTCCATCAAATAAAAAGTGAAATTTCTGCAAAAAAATGGATAAAGGCGCGAAGAAAGTGACAGAGAGGTTAGTGAAAACGAAAAAATTTCGATTGACAAGTTAGTCGATATTCTCAACTCGGCAATTACAGGACTTGAACAGTGGAACTTCGTAACTGAACAAGAAATTATGTCTGTTTATAGAATTAAAGACAAAGTATTAGCACAAAAAACGAAGCAACTTAAACAACTTACATTGAAAGAAATGTTTAATAAAGTAAACAAATATTAAGCTTTTTTTTAATACCATTTAGATCATAATTGCTCTTCATTTTATAAATTACGGTTTCATATTTTTAATTGTATAATTTCTGTATAAAATCTTACCAGACTTAAATTGATGATCTATAAACTGGAAAAACCCCTAATCTGGAATCGACGAAGTCCCAACGAGTCCATATTAAAGACTTTGCACTGTATTAATCATTATTTTTAATTGATTTTATTTAATACAGTAATTTTTACTCAATAAATTTTACATAATTGCACAAGTTTTAAAAAGCTGGAATCGAACCTGCCACATCTAGCATTAGAGACCTGAGTGTAATCTCGAGGCCATGCTTTATCTCTTGAATCCTGTAATCTGACCTTGTCCTTCCTCTTTGTCCATTTGACCTTGTGCAGCAGAAACGATATCACTAGGCTGGAGGGTTGAGCATGCGAGAGTCTGCCTTGACATGAAAATTGCTTTATAGCTCTGTACTTCCGTAAAAGTGAACAAATATAATCTTAAAAACCAGTCAGATTCTCGTTAACATTTTACTTCATATTTCAACTAATCAGCATGAAGTGAACATAAATTTGTTTTGGCTTACTAAATCATTTCTTTATATTTTTGTTGTTTTAAATGTAAGAGTTTCCCACATTTTTTTATTTCTCTTTTTTTATTTTGCAAGCATATTTTATTTATTTATTTATTTTTCTTCTCTTTTTTCTAAATGCAATGTATTAATATTTCATCCCACTTTTATATTTTTTTTGCACTCCACTTTTTTACTTCCTTGTACGAAGTAAAGTATTGTAATCGTGAAAAAATTGAGGTATCATATATGAATGAAAATATCCATTTTGACCACTATCGAATGCAATTTAGCGATGTTTTTATATGACATCTGTACGTAAGGACTCCTTTTCCCCAAACGAATTATGAAACTGATTTAAAATGGATTCAGGAGATATTTTTTCCTGGTGTCTATGCATGTATCTAGCATAACTCAAAAACAAGTAGCCTCAGAATGGTGAAATTTTGTATATAGTACTGCTATATGTATTGTGCACCTTCCTTTTTGGTTGCAATCAGCCGCACCAAAAACATATATACTCGGCTCCGTGAGCTCAGGTTCAATTATTTGTATATGTTGTTAAATTGTGTTTTTTTCCCTCCCCCTCTTTAAAAATGATTGAATTGTGTTGTTCTTCTGATTAAGGTTTTTATGCCTTTAGTTAATCCGCATGCAATAGCTGTAGAATTATCAATAATTTTAAAGTTCTTTAAGTAAGGCAAAGCATAATTTTTCTTACCATAGCAGCCATATTTGTTTACCTTTGAAACTTAGCAGAATAGTGAATTAAGTCTTCAGTGTCCTTTTTGCCAAGTGGAAGCAAAGGGAAGCTTTTAGTTTTGCGTACCAAGAAATCTGCCTTCTTGCTTGCTGGCCGAATTGCTTGTTTTTACGTAGAAACTATAAATTTAATTGTAAAAATAGTTTTTTGTTTTAAGTACATTTGTTGCTTTATGTTTTTCTATATCTCAAATTTTAATGAAGATATTTGAAGTTTTTTTGTTTTTTTTACCTTGCCGTGAAGTATGAACTGAATTAATTGAATGAAAAATATATATCTATTGAAATTCGAGAAAACAAGTTTAAATGAAAAGCAGGGGGAAATGAATATAATTTAAGATTCTGTACAAGGAAGTCATGGTGTGTGCATATCAGATTTTTTTTACCGTAGCAGCCGTATTTGTTTACATTTGAAACTCGACAGAAAAGTGAATCAGTTTATGCATCTTCAGTGTCTTTTTGGCAAGTGAGGCCAAAAGTAAATACAGTAGAAAGTCCAAAATCTGGACTCGTCGGGACTTCGCTAATTCTGGATTTGGGATTTTTCCGGATATTAGATCATCAGTTTAAATCTAGTTAAGATTGCATGTAGAAATTATAAAATTAAAAATATGAAATCGTGATTTATGAAGGGTATCAAAATTTACAAAAAAAGGTTAATATTTATTTTACCTTATTAAACATTTCTTCTATCTTTTCTTGGAATGCAGCAAAGGCAATCACGAGCTGTCTTAGTTGCTCCTCCATTGCTCTTGTCACTGGCATTCTGCTTCACTTCTGTCACCAAAAAGTGTTGCATGTGTATGGGTTTCCAATATATTGAATGCACATGGGTCCGATGATAGATAAAAATTATTTTATCAAAAGAAACACTTCAGAGCTCTCAAACTTTCTACAAAAATAATCGTACAGGTATTTATTCACAGAGTACAATCAGTAATTACTCTTCAAACAACTAAGAATGCTTAACACAGTGCAAGAAAAGCCATTCTAAAAGAAATGAAGCTTTCAATACTCCAAATTTGCTCTGGATTAACAGCTGACAACAACAACTACTACAGAAGGCAGATGCTATCTCCAGCCTGATGTAGTTTTCACCTGGGCAGCCGAGATATTTCTAGTATTTTCTGCTTGTCAAAATTGCTGGATGCCACATGAGGGCTAAATTTACATGCGAAATCAATTGTATTTATACAATTACAATACCCATTATGGTAATACAGAGGCTGGACCAAAATGTTGCCAAATTTGGCAATTTCTTGTCAAATTTAGTGACAAAAGTTAGTTCTGTTAACACCAAAACTGTCGCTAGCTTCGGGATATCTTGGCAAATTACCAGGATACCCATTTACTCAATTTTGAGTAGACTTGTCCCTGTCTTCTTACTCTTCCAGCAAGCATCTCTGCTTTATATTTCTCTGCCTTACAATTTTACATATAAATTCACTAAAATTATATTTATCTTCACAAAATTTATAACAATATGTATTTCTCTATGACAAACTGAAGTGTACTATTTATCTGTTAGTCTTTACTCATCGTGAGGAATATATTATTTCTAAATCTTATTGCTAGCCTGGAAAATGATCAAAATTTGAATTACATTTCTTATTGAATAATAAACATGTTCAGACCGTTGCGAAACGAGAACTACTGATATCATTTCAGATAGTGTATTTCTAAATCCGGGCAGTTTCTTATTCAATAATTGCCAGCAAGATTACAGTAATTTGATTATCTGCTACTGTGAAGATCTGTCTTCTGTATTCTATTAAACACTGATTTTCTTTCTGCTTTTTCCTATGTTAGGCATTTGAACTTCTGTGAGCTAAAATTGAAGATAGTAGAAAAAAAAAAAAAATTACGTAACTGAAAATTCAACGTAATGGGTTACATTTATTAACTTTGACATTCTTAGACAGGTCTGCTTAAGATATTTATAGAAGTAGATCATAAAAGAAAATGGATAGACTATGCAAATCTAAAACATTATTCTTTTGAACTTACTGCACCATATAAGGTGTATAAATGGCTACATCTTTGTAATGTAAAATTAAGAGCTAAACATGCCAAAGCTTAATTGAACCATTTAACTTGATGTAGCTGTAGTTTTATAGGTCTGCTTAAGATATTTATAGAAGTAGATCGTAAGAGAAAATTTATAGACCATGCAAATCTAAAACATTCTTCTGAACTTACTGCACCAATTAAAAAGTATAAATGGCTACATCTTTGCAGTGTATAATTAAGAGCCAAACATGCCAAAGCCTGATTGAACCATTTAACTTTGTGAAACTCGAGTTTTTGCTGCACCAAATCCATCAAACTATAAAAAATCTGGTGCACCATGGTAACCAAAGATTTTCATCAGGGACGTTTTTTCTTTATAAATTACAGGATGACACTAGATATAAAATATAGCTATGTGTATATGTATAATAACTATTGGCTATAATAACTTGTACAATAAAATCAGATAGATCAACTTACAGTTTATAAATACCCACAAGTTTTACTCATTTTTTACTGGTTAGTTTTAAAAGTAACCAGATAATTTATCTAATGTTCATGATATTGTTAAATTTGATATCATGGTTATATTTCTGATGACTTGTAATGAATGGACTTCTAAAATTATGTTAATATTAACCCATCAAATAACTGAGGATTTGCTTGTGAGAAAAATGTTTTTGCTACTTTATATATATAATCCTTTCATTGCTGTGTGTTGTTTTAATGATTAAAGCAAATTCCAAGATGCATGTTATCCTTAAAAGACATTTTAACAAATGCTGTTGAACATGTATATTTAAAGTTTATATGTATAGTTTTCATTAATGGAGGTTATAATAATTTGAGAAAAAAGAGTAGTTAACACAATTTATTGTAGTTAATTTTTATATATAAACGACGTGGCAGGTATAAAGTATGTAATTTACACTTACAGCTTTCTCTTTCTTATTTGCAGAAAAATGGTTTTTCATATTTGACTTACGAGAAACCTGATATCGTATGTGTACAAGAAACAAAATGTTCTGATGATAAACTTCCTGATGAAGTTAAAAATGTAGATGGATATCACACTTATTGGCTTTCAGGTGATAAAGATGGCTATTCTGGTATTGGTCTTCTGTCCAAAGAGAAGCCAATTGATGTAAAATATGGAATAGGTAATTCTTTTACATATCTGTGTGGTATAAAGATAAATATATTTTTTTAAATGCATGTTTATTTTTAGAAAATTTAAAACATTATAAAAAAATTTGAAACATTTTTGCATTTAAAATTCTATAAGAAAGAGATAAAATACATATTTATTTTTAGGAAATGTAAAATAAAACATTTTTGTCTTTAAAATTATATAAGAGCTAAAATACACTAAATTAATATTAACCCCCTAACTGCCGCGGGCATATATATGTGCCTTGTTCAGCAGATGCTTTAACCTTTCGCACACCAAAAAATTTCCTTCAGTACGCACAGAAAAATTGAATGAAAAAGGATTTATAGGTTGGATTTATAGGTTAGTCTGAACCTTCTTTATTTATAGTAGATGGCAGCCTAACACAAAACCAGTCCATATATTTTAGCCATGTTTAGTTTTTAATGACCCTCATTTTTCAAACAAATCTTCCAGATTTTTTTAGGATATAAAAGGAATTATTTGAAAAGAAATTTGTATGTTATTTTCTTGGCTGCATGTGAATCTCTTTATTCTATATTAGTTAAAAATTTTTATCTTGAAATCTTGCCTAAAATCGAACAGCGAACATCAGCTGTGCCCAGAATTGGCTCAGTGAGAGACTAGAATAATACCAAAAACTGTATTTTTGTTTCTCTGATGCTTACCGGGCAGTTCATTCACAATGGAAAAGTAGGTCTGCATCTTTGTTTCATTTCCTTTTTTTCCTCTCTTTTTTTTTTCCGGGGGGGGGGTTTGTTATCAACTAAGAAATTGTTGGGGTGATTTTCTGAAGTTCAGGAGTAATTTTATCAGTTAGCTGTTTGGTTTTTCATTAGAGCAGTTCTCTTTCACTTTCGTTCAAAGAAGTTTTGTTAGTGCTACGTTTTGATAGCTTTTGAGTTGTGATTTTATTTTATAGTTTATAATTTCTAATTGTAGCCATAATATTAGGTTTTTTTTATTATTAGTATTTCCAATTATTTTCCATATGGATCGGAAAGGGCTGACCATTTCTGAAGCACTGAAAGTTCTACACGAATTGCCTTCAGGTAGTGAATCTGATACAGATCCCGTTACATATGCAAAACATGCAATGTTGGGTTGTGCTTTTTCAAAGGTAGTGTAACTTTCTTTGAAAAGTACCACCATTTATATGAAATGTAAATAATGTAACTATCATATACTCAAGTTACTTTTTTTTCATTTATACGCATGTAATCATCATATAACCAAGAAGAGATTTTTTAGGGGAGTGTAGAGTAGCAGGCCTTTCCATGGCACACCCTGGGTAATTCTAAATCTGCTACTGTATTCAGAATCTAGTGTTTTTTAATCATAGGCAAAATCTCGTACTCAGTTTGCGTATCCCAGCAATGCTCGTTTCAGCACTCTTTTTGAAGCTGTGTTCATTCAGTGTGCCCGCTTCAGGCACACCCACAGAATTAAAACGATAGGTACTATCTTCACAAAATTTTACCTGTGTACGCTTCCAGCCCTGATTAGACTGCTTACCGTTGTTTTAGTCCAGAGGGGCTTTGTCTCTGAATTACTATTATTTTTATTTCGCGTTGGTTCACTATAAATGTCCGTTTCATTTTTCAAACTATTGCCGCCAAATGTTAGAGTCCTGCATTATATTTTAAGAAATTAAATAAGGAAAAATCTGCATAAATGTATGTATATTTCTCGCATTGTGATAAAACAACGGTACCCAGAGCCATCGAATTTTGAATGACGTAAACCTCCTCAAAGGAAGCTCAAAGGAATTTGTTTTATTATCGATTTCATATTTTCGAAAACGTTAACGAATTTTTGATTAACAAACTGAAGGATTTCAAAGCGAATAATGACAACGTTGTATAGAAAAAACATTTTTATCTCCAGCGTGCGAGTCTCTGTATCGTAAATTCTAAAAATATGCTCATTTAAAAACTATTTTGCGGTATTGCTGCTGAACTGAATTTTATGATTTAAGTGCAAAGAACATGATATTTAATAAATAAGTGTACACACAAAATGGTACAAAAACGCACCTTTGGACGTAATTTAAAATCTGAAACCTTTCAGATTTTCTTTTTTATTTATTCTCTCCCCCTCCCTTTTTTAATGTGTGTCAAAATTCCAACTTTAAAAGGTAGCGTGCTGGAAAGGGTTAATTGCCCCAGGCATATATATATATGCCCTTCTGAAATACTATCATTTGCTTTTTGCTACTAAAAGTTAAATTATTCGCAATGCTTTGGAATGCAACACCACAATGACCTTAACATAGTATGCGAAGGGAGATACTATTTTGGAGAAAGAGACATTTCTGTAACGTTGAAAGCAATGACTGCACGGTTATTGCTTGTGTTTCTGTTTGAGTAAAACATATTTTTTTATTCTGTGTCTTCCATTTTCGTTTACTGTTTGTAGTAGGTGTTATTTTTACGAATATGTCTGACAGTGAAATAGATGATTATTTTCCGTCCTCTTCAGAATCGGACACGTCAGAATATGATATTACGTCAGATAAACAGGATTGCAATTATTTAACAAACTTGCCTAAGACACCCAACCAATTCAGAAGAAATATATGTTTTTTTTTTTAGGTATACTAATTTTACAAGGAATAACATTGAAACCTGATATTGCACTTTACAGGTCTGAAACTAAATTGATTGAAATTCCATTTTGGGATCTTTTTTTATTATACAAACACCATTTTTACTATACTTGTATCTTTTTTATTACACTTTTACTTTAAATGTTAAATTTTGTGTATTTTTTTTTTTTTAATTTTATTCTTTATTTTGTCAAAGTAAACAGTTTCTGCACTTATTTCTCCCCTAATACATCACATAATTATGTGCGCCTGTGTAAAAAAAGAGTTGCTTTCGGGAGTGAATCTTGTACGTTTTCCGCGGCAGTTAAGTAATGTAGTGGACTTTCTACAGAAAGCACAGATTAAAAACAATTAAATGAATAACTTGTAAAATAAAATTTGAATGCTTTGCAATGGGATTATTAATTTACTTAATACCTTTTAAGCAAACTGCTTAAATGATGGGTGTTCATACTATAATGGGAGAATAAATTTTATAATTTACTGTTAGCACGTTTTGTGCGGTCTGTCTAACATACACAACTATGTTGCTTAGCAGTAATATGAATAATAGTAATATACGATGTAATATGAAAACTTCATAAATGCAGTGTTAACAACTAATGTGTTGAGGGATATGTAGATGTCTCAGCACATGAGATATTTATACAAGTTGATTACAAATAAGTTGACTAAGTTAAAAATATGTTCTAATAAAAATATACCAATCCATACATTATATGAAAAATTTTTTCCCTAATGGTTAAAAGTGGTGATTTTAAAATTGTGATTAAAAGTGCCTTAAAAGTGATTTTAAATAGGTACTAATACCTGCCCTGCTTTTAAATGGCAATCCGTGAAACGGGTACAAGTACCCGTCCCGCTTATAAGTGGCAATCTGTGAAACGAGTACAAATACCTGCTCCCGCTCATAATGAGTTAAGAGTTTAATTACTATTTCTACATGTTAATTTGTTCAAAAATACAGTTATCAAAGGATAAATATTTTTAATATACAGGCTGTATAAAGTTTTATTCTAATTTCCAGTAATATAAAATTATTGTCAGTTCATCTGCCTATATTATAACTGTTCCCTAGACAAACAACGTCCCACGAGGGAAGAGGAAACGATGATGAAAACATCCATGCAGTTCTGCATTTTAAAGAAATCATCAGTGACTAAGCAAAATAATGCCAGTATACAAGATATGCATACAATAATCGAAATGACCAGAACATTTAAGTACTTAAAACCAGTTTTCCTGCAGCGTAATGGGCTGAGCAGTTAATACTGCCATATTATATATTAAATATAACTGGCAATCATCTGTAAAAAGCATGAATCTGTATGAGATATGGATAAGGTTACATAAAAAGTTGCTGAAAAGCTTTTATTCCCAAATTTGAAGAGCCTAATGTTTATGAAGAAGGTATCAACTGTAAACAAAGAGCATTCGGGAAAGAAGCTTCAAAGATCTTTTTTTTTTTTTTTTTTTTTTTTTTCCCCAGGGAAAAATGAAATATTGTACTTCAGAAAAAAATTCCCAAAAGATGCTAAAGCTCTATCACAAGATAAAGAACTCCACTAGTTCTGTTTGAAAAAGTCAAGGCTAGACTTATTGCTAAGGTGTTTCCTCAATGCACTGAAGTTGGTTATGATCAGTGTGTAATTTAATGACAAATTTATTAAATGTCTGCTCAAATTTTAATATTGCATCTAATAAGAAAACTCTTACTCAATTTCAAGGAAGGCAGATACTTTTGTGGAGGGGGGGGGTAGTATAGAAGTTACCTAATAAGGAAAAGAAAAATTCTGAACATAACTGTTCCTGTTTGCTAGATCTGTGTAAATGTGTAGTATAATTATACTCACGACAATTATCCAGAATGATTTTTTAATCCATTAAAAATAGCTTTTATATTTCCATGCTTATGTATCACATTAAAAAATTTTGGCAGTGAATTGTTGCAGCAGTGTTATGCCACAACTGCTGCCCTGCTGGAAAGAATGCTGTGTGAAACCAATTATCTCTTTAATAAAGATTAACTTACTAGAGGTGCATGCATAGATTGTGAAAGTGTAAGCTTCTATTCTTTTGCTTATGGCAGAAATCCTCATTGCAGTGAGCAGCAACATTCACCTTTACTGTACAATATGCATATGTATTCTCTGCATAGCATGAGGATAAAAACTTATTTTTCACTTGGACTTGCTACTTCTTTCTCACGTTTTTTTTTTTTTTTTTTTTTTTTTTTTTTTTTTTTTTTTCTTGTTTGGGACCGATGTGTGGTGTCGAATTGTGTGAATATATAGCCCCTTGCAAGATGTGATTTTTTTTTTTAATGTTAAATAAAGTTATTTTTAACTGTTAACTGAAGTTTTGTGATTTTTAAGCCTTTCTGATGGTCTTCTGATGAGGTGTAATGGTGATAAAATTTTGTCATATGCTTATCGAATGATGTAGAATATTCTTCTGTATTGTAAAATAAAATATTTTTGCAAGCAGATCCTTCTGTTTGGAATACCATCTGTGTTTTGCCCTACCGCGAGCCACGAGCAGAGTTGTCACTAGACATTTCGCCACCTGGTGCAATATGCATGGGTTGCAAATCATGTTGTCCAATACCTGCCTAAATTCCTAAAATTTTCCCGCTACCAGGTGCAGCTGCACAAGTTGCACTAGCTTTGGTGCCAGCCTTGGCCATGAGAACTCATTTTTTGAATTTTCTCAGTGAAATAGGAAGGTGATTTCATTTCTGTAAAAGAGCATTGCTACTATTTGGACACACAGCAAACTATTGTACATATTAGCTGCGGTGGACTGCTGAGCAACATGCATTTATGGTAATTTTTTTTAATAAAGGAAAGAGATTATTCAATCATTTTATCCATCATTTTATCCATATTCTGCACAATGTTGCTTTTTTTTTTTTTTTTTTTTTTTTTTTTTTTTTTTAGAATATGAAAAATTACAAACATAAAATTTCGGATCAACCAATCTCGCTTTGAAAAGAAAAATATCATGTCTTGTGCACACTGAAAGAGTGAAACAGGCAGTATCAAGATACTGTCATTGCTTAACCCCTTGGGTACGGATTTATTTGAGAAAATATTTGCATGTGGAACGGATATAATTTTGTGATATTTTTCAAAGCAAGTAGGTAAATGCATTGTTTTCATTTGCATTGTTTGCACTGCCACATAGTCTCTTTCCTAATATTATGCTTATAACAAACATGGTACCTTTTTCCAGGGTGTTCCTTTTACTTAGTCGACAGAATGATCTCAGGAAAGTGTGCCTGATTTTTCGCTGCCAAACGAAATGGTGTATCACTACTTGACGGACGTCCACGACATTTATAATTTGGCAATGACAATTGCTCCAGCAATTCTTTGGCAATAGCTAAACGAAAGGAAGTAATGTCTGCCTTGGATGTGCAGTTGATTTTAGAATATAAAACATGAGCATTATAAAAGGCCAAATCTATTAGATTAAAAAAAAAAAAAAAAAAAATTCTTATAACCGTTTACACATTTTCTCATAAAAAAAAAATTTCTTATAACCCTTTACACATTTTCTCATAACTGGGAAGCATGCTAGCAATTGGTCTTGTTTATCAACACCTCCCATACCTTTATTATACTCAAGCACAGATGCTAGTTTTATAATATTTTCGCTATCGCCACCTTCATTTTTTCTCCTTTTGCCTGTGTTTATCAAATCAGCATTTAAATGTTTCGTGCTAAGTATGTGAATCATCTGCTCCTAGAGAAAACAAGTGAATGACGTCTTTCAGATGTCAAATGTACCTGAGAGTTTAATTTTTGGTTTGACGTCTTGGACACGTCATCCGCTCCTAGGGGGGAAAAGTGAATGACGTGTCTCAGATGTCAAATGTACCCAAGGGGTTAAGCAGAAAATTCATTTTAAAAAAGCTGAGTAAAGAAATGATGTTGTATATATGTTTTTTTTAAATAAATGAGTATAGTAAAGGCCCAACTATCAGGCATTCAAACAAACAAAAAAAAAAAAAAAAAAATTCCTTCCAAAAATTAAATGGGAAATTTGTTAGCCAGCTAAAAGCACGTACAGGACTCTTGAAATCCTGCTGATAACTTCTAAAATGTGAATAAAATTACATTGCTGTCTTTTAGAAGGTACACCTTCCCCCATCATTGTACCATCTTATAGTTCCAAGAATTCATACTTATTGGGAAATTATCATCAAATTTGATACCCCATGTAATGGAAAATCCCATTAAAAGCTGTTTGTTACTATGGCACAGGGGCATATGAAGAATTCCAATGTTCAGACTAGACTTTTAGTTTGTTGTGGTCTCTGCATTTGCCAGTGTGTTTAATGTTGGGGATCATTAGAGTAACAGGCTTTCTCAGTTTTGTTAAATGTATTCTGGATAGCAGTCTTACAGTTGTTTAAAAAATATGGTATGTTACATTTTTTTCCATAGACCATCGACAAACAAAAACTGTTGCCAAATAGTATGATTTAGTACCAATAATGTTGTCACAACACAATCATAATATCTTCACTTTAGTTTTATGTAAATGGATTAATTCTTGATAAGCCAGTTTAGTTTTCATAAAGAAAATATAAATTAACTGTTATTTATTTGTTTCCCTTCACAGTTTTTGAAAAATTTTTACAATTTGAGATCCTTCTTCCACGGAACAACATGAGTATTTTCAAAGTTATAGGATAATGCCATCAAGAAATATGTGTTTTAATGAGAATGATATGTGACGTTTTGAAAACAGATAAACAAATGGCAGTGCAATGGGAAAATTATGATACACAATTTATTTTTTTCATATACTATATCTGTGACTTAAATTTTAGATTTTAATTAAAGAAAATGTAAAATATCTTTTTCCTTTAAGTTTCTACCAGAATAATTGGCTCATGTTTCTCGGCACCTCTGCTTTGGAAGTAAAGCTACCTATAGTTTTATATAGTTTACTTTTAAAATAGTTTTACTTTAAAAAATGTTATCAGTGCAGCATGTGTGCTTGAACAAGCTCTTTGTTCAGTAGTTCTATTTTCTAGTCAGGCAGTTTGTTTTCTTAATCTGGTATGATTCTGATTACTTGAACTCGGATAAGTCAAACTCAGTGTCTGTACGTGTATATTAACTTTTCTTTGTGAGTTGATATTTAATCACTTGAAATCTTTTGCTTTCTTTTTCAAGTTTTCACTTAATTTGACTTCAAAAAAAAAAATCCTGCAACTTCAATTATATTCAGACATTTGCTATATTTAACACTATAATTATCAGTAATTAATATCATCTTTTGCCAGGGTCAGCACTAGTCATTTGCCACCAATACCACTTTTTGTTTCTCTCTCGCCATTCCTAAATTCTGCTGCCTGTTGTTGCACTAGTTGCACCAGCTGTGGCGCCAGCTTTGTCTAGTGCTGCTACTATGAAAGAAAATCATTCATGTTGTATGCAAGATAGAAATGATAAGCTAAATTTAATTTATTTCTTCCATTTTGTAAGTGGTATCAGTAATCATAGAAAAAAGAAACATGATTCTAATTAAAACTGAGTTTTGAACTTACAGGTATTCCTCTGCTTCAGTTAACTGTCTGATGGTGTATTTATTTATCTCTTGCCTTTTGTTCCTTATTACACAGCATCTGTTTACATGTGAAAAAACTCCTGTGAGTTCTTGGTTTCACACCAGTGGCATTGAATCTTTATCTCATGATTTATGTTCTTGCAACTAAATGTCAGTGCATGGTCTGGACTGGTTAAATAGAAGCAACATTATGTATAATTCCAAGTATATTTATTAGTAAACTGATATTCTAGAGTCTTGTATTTTTTCAGGTATTGAAGAACATGACAATGAAGGAAGAGTAATAACTGCTGAATATAAGGATTTTTACCTTGTCACAACATGTAAGTTTATTCTTTTATCTCTGTTATTAAATAATGAAGAATCTGTGCATATTTATGTTCCTTGCACTGTGGGAAAAATATCTAGAGCCACCAAATTTTGATCAATTTGATTTTTGTCTGAGCATGTGCACTTTTTGAATTTTTTATCTATTTCATATTTTGTACTAATTTAGTGAATTTTTGGTTAACAGACTCAGCAGTTTAACAATGAGCAATAGCAACACTACTTGAAATATAACATTTTAATCTCTGGTATGCAAGACTTTAGCCATTCAACAAAATGTTAAACATTTATCTTTCAATTTTAATCAACAAAATTGGTTATTTGAAAGCAAAATTTAATCTGTCAATTGTGTATTAACAAGCTAAGGGATTTAAAAGCTATAAAAGCAGTCTTTAAGAATATTTTGTACTTTGTAATCTGGTTTAAATTATGTGTCTAATTAAAAATATGAAATTCTTTTTCTGAAATTATGCTAGCTGGACTAATTAAAAACATAAATCTGAAAATACATGTTACTCTTTCTTGTAATTTAATATATCCCCTCATCTTTAAGAAAATTCAACTTAATGTGACATTTTGTGCTTGCTTTTTTTATGCTGTTCTTGTTTTCTACTCTGGCAAAACCAATTAGCATCCAAAACCAATCCATTTAACAAATTTCAATTATATGTGACAAAATGTCAAAACTTCAATTTCTGTAGCCTCTATTATCTCCATTGGCTATCATTTTAAGTAGCTGTATTGCATAGGTTGCATGTTAAGAGGTTATCACATATGCCTATAGTCCCTGCTAGACGGGACTTTTCTGATAAACGAGATTTTAGTAACACTGGTTTAAATGGGAGGATTCCTAGAGAAAAGAGCCTGCTGGAAGCGAAGTCCCGCCTAGCTGCGGAAATAATGTTGCAGCTAAGCGGGATTTTTTCAAACCTCATCGAAAATGTTTTGGGGTCCCGGGTAGAGACGAAATAATCAGACGAAAGTTCTGCTTCTGAAGGATTACGTGATTCCAATTTGAGCGATAATCTATTACTGTTTGGCGCTCAAGGCTTTGTAGTAAGTGAGAATGGTAACCTAGCTACGTGTGTTTCCCTGAATTGTGCGGGTTCTGAGAATTGTCTCTTTCGACGTCAAGTCCCACGTAGCCGAAACACAATGTGATTGGGACCTTAAGAATGAAATCTTATTCTGATTGTTGAGATTTTGCTGGGTTTTGTAATTTTTTTGTGTGTGTTTTTGGATATTTAAATACTCCTATTGCTCTGATTTTATTTTGTAACTGAAATGTTGCTAATCCGAACAATTTTAAAAATGGCTGAATTTAATAAAAATAATATTCTTTGGCTTTTCTTTAGATTAAGAATGTGGTAATGGTTACTTTGTTTTAAACATTTAATTTCTGATCTAATTTTGTGTAGTTCTGTCTGTTTAAAATAGAGAACACAGTAGCTTGATCAGTATTATCTTAATCTTCTGCAGACATTTGAAGAACTTTTATGAATGAAATTTTTTTAAACTAATGATAAATTAGTGGATATTTGTATTTATTTTTATTTTGTATGAATGTGAGGTACATTGCTAAGTTTATCCACTCCTTAGTATTTACATTAATTTTACTTTCATCATATTTAAATATACTTTGTTAAAGAAAAGCTTTCCTTTTCCTACTCTAAATTTACTCAGTATAAAAATATTTTAAAAAAAGTGCAAAAGGAAATTGGCCAAAGAACATAAAATTTAAAATATCTAATTAGATATTAATATATTTTTCATTTGTTTCACATTATATTATTGAGTAACCTTTATCACATATCATAAAGTGAATTTAAATCAATTTTGAATTCTTTAGAAATGGCATCACTATGCAGTGAGAAAACCAACCATAAATTTTCAGGTTTTTGTATTTTAAGGATGGAAGATGTGGTAACTCAAGTCTCAAAAACAGAGTTCTTCAACTTTTAAACTGAGTAGTAATAAAGAAAAAGAAAATCACCATTAAGGTTTTTTTTTTTTTTTTTTTTTTTTTTAAATATTAAGGTATATTAAGAACTTGCATTTCATATGAAAATGAAGCAGGCATAACACATACCCGCTAAAAGAACTTTGGACTCTTAAACCAATAAGTATAGTCTGTCATCTTAAAATATCTCTTTTTAATCAGTTCTACAACTGACTGTGTAAAGGTTAAATTGCAGTATTTTTTATTTATTTTATGTTTTCTGTATTTTGTACATTTATTATGCTTTTGGTTTATATTTTAACACGCATACAAAATGGAGATATTCAACCTCCATCAGTTTTTCGGGGGCATCAAAATAAGTAGTAAATTTTAAATAATGATTGTCTAAAAGTACCTCCAACATTATTTGAATGATACTGGTTGATCACTTTTAGGTGCCAGTAGCATTGAAAAGATTGAATTAGCAAGTGCTCACCTGCTCCAAAAACATACATTTGAAGTTCATTTCAGTTCACTTGCTGGTTTAAAATGCTAACTAAAATCATGAAAACCACCCTGTTGGCACCTGAATGTCTGCTATACAAAAACTTTCTCCTCTACCTACATTGCCTAGCAACGAATCTTGTAACATATCGTTATAAACGTGAATATCATTTGTTTTTGTAATTATTTTTATTAGCTTGTTCGATGAAAAATTTGTTGCTTGTACTTTGAATGGCTGCTGATTGAGCAGTTAATTTTCGAATAGAATAACAGATGTATTTAAAAGAAAATTAGTTTTGTTATTTCGTAGCTACAGTCCAAAACACCCCCTTAATTTTAAGTAAATGTTTCTTTACTCATTATAATATCTTTTCTTTAAAGATGTTCCCAATGCAGGAAGAGGTCTTGTACGTCTAGATTACAGACAGAAATGGGATAAAGATTTCCGAGCATATCTAAAGAAATTAGATTCAAAGAAACCTGTCATTTTATGTGGAGATCTGAATGTTGCACATGAAGAAATTGGTGAGTACTTGCAATCCTATTATGTATTTAAAATGCTATTAGTCTATAATATAAAATAGCTGCCAACTCGTCTGGTTTTTTAGTTTTTAGCCTTTTTAAGGAAAACATTTTTCAGCAATAATGGAAATATTGAAGTGAAATTTAAATTAGGCCAAGCAGGAATATAGTCTGAAAAGTCATTTAAAAATGGCTGAATTTAATAAAAATAGTATTCTTTGGCTTTTCTTTAGATTAAGAATGTGGTAATGGTTACTTTGATCATTTAATTTCTGATGAATTAATTTCTAATGAACATTTAATTTCTGATCTAATTTTGTGTAGTTCTGTCTGTTTCAAATAGAGAACACAGTAGTTTGATCAGTATTATCTTAATCTTCTGCAGACATTTGAAGAACTTTTATGAATGAAATTTTTTTAAACTAATGATAATGCAAATGATTTAAATTTTGGCACCAATGAGACAAGGTTGAGCACTCAGCTGGGAGAGTTTAAAAGCATGATTGCTCACTCATTTGGGCTATTTAAGTGAATCTGTCCACTTGGATGGATGATATTGTGATTATAGATGTCTCTGATACATAACTGGAGGCAGCACAGGCAGACTTTGAAAAAGCACATGTATAGTAGTTCTCGGAGAAATACGTTGGTTGAACAGGCATATCGGCCACCACCTCGGTTGTAACAACATGATAGTTGCTTTGTGTGTGTGACAAGGGATAGTCTACTATCGTGGAGGGTTAGAACATCCCAGGAACTCTGAGCATGCGGATTGGTCAATTATAAGAGCAAGCACGTCTGCACCAGCAACGCCGTTAGCATCGATTCAATGCTATTTACTACCTTCCAGGCTCCACTAAGTGGAGTGTCTGTTCTTAAGGAAAGAGAATGCTGAACCTTTTAGGTTAAGGTTGCATCAAACATAGTTGGTAGAAGTCCATTTAAGTATAACTTGGTCAAATAAATTTCTTCATTAGATCCTAAACTCATTATGTCTAATAAATTTTTATATGAGAAGAGCATGGAGGGGTTACTGCTTATACTGTACAAAAGTGTATGGATAAATTTCACAGTTGCAGATAAAGCAAAAGTTCAGTGTAATTAATTGTTATTCAGAAGTAAGAGTGTTTGAAAAGATGCTTTCATTAACTATGCTGCAATGTGACTTGATCTTTTTATAAGGACATTATTAATAATTCAGATTTTGAAGAACTTTGAAGTGTTGTAAAACTAGTTGTAATTTTATCGCATGACAGTGCCACAGTAGAGTAATTTCTCTAATAATGATATTTTGCTCAAAAAACTTCAGCAGAATTCTTCAACAGCAGTACACACTGTTTATGATGCCATAAAAGTAAATGAAGGTGTGATGAGTATTAATAAAACTCCTGATGTGTTACAGTATGCCAGATCTGCTCGGGTTGCATATCAAGTACTAAGACAAGCTATGTTATAGTTAAGATAAAAAAGTAAAGAAAAATTATCAAACAAAAGGAAAGCATAAGCATAGATTAAAATTTTGGAGTAAAAAAAATTACCAGAGATGTTTATTCAATTGACTTACAAATTGCAGAGTTGAAACAACAAATCTAGTTTTGTCTTAATTTCATGACCATTACCATCAATGGTAATGGTCATGTAATTAAGATTGATGGTACACCATTGATGGTAATTCTTCACCATTACCATCAATGGTGTAATTAGCTTTTTTTTCTATTAATCTTTTGTTTAAATATTTTAAATGTATTTTTATCTAAAATTCTAATCAAAAGTTACATTTAATTTGTATTGTATATGCTTTTTTGACCAAGCAGAGTTTTTTCTAGCGTAAGCCTTGATTATGCAGGGCCATTCCTTGTGAAATCCCGCAAGGGGAAAGGAGTAAGGCCCATCTGTTCACGTGTTTTGCCACGAAAGCAGTACACTTGGAGGTTGTACAGAAGCCTTTTTAGTAGCATTAAAAACGTTCGTAGCTCGTAGAGCCAAACCACAAGAGATGTTTTCTGATCAAGGGACTAACTTTATTGATGCAAATTGTGAATTAAAAAGCATTATGGTATCCATTTTATCATCAGAAAAGTTTAAAAACCAGTTAGCACAAGAAAACATTGTTTAGAAATTCAATACTCCCTCTGCCCCACATTTCAGGGATCTTTGAGAGAATGGCATTAAGCAAATGAAAAATCACTTAAAACGTACAATAGGAGCTCAACTGCTCACATCTGAAAATTTCTCACCTTGATAACTTAAATTGAAGCTTGCAGACCTATAGTGACGATTTCCAATGATCCCAATGACTTAAAAGTACTTTAACACCTGGTCTCTTTTTTATTGGAACCGCGCTAACAACCATTCCTGAACCAAATGTGATTGATTGATTGTAAGGTAACGACTGTAGAACGATGGAAACTGATTCAGCAACTTTTTCAGCACTTTTGGAAATGAAGGTCATCCGACTATCTCTCCCAATTGCAAGCACGTGCAAAATGGCAAAAGAACAAACCAAACTGAAATACCAATGACTTGGTGCTGGTAAAAGATGATAACTTACCACCTTTAAGGTGGCGTCTAGGTAAAGTAATTAATGTTTACCCAGGATCTGATGGAAAAGTGTGAATAGTTTTTAAGTCTACTTAAAAACTATCAATGGTGTAATTAAACGTCCTATCAACAGACTTTCACCGTTACCATTTTGCCATCGTGAAAATTAATGACTAAAAATTTTATTCCTATTTCGTATAAATCATTGTATTTCAGTTTCATTTTAGTTTTGTGTCCAAGTATAGTAAATGTCTTAAGAATTTTCTCTTTCAGCTTATAGTGATTTTGAAATTCATATTTTAACTTGTCATATAATATTGTTGAAAATCTTGTATTGAATATTGTATTAAAATAATTCTAAATTTGAAACTTGTGATGAACAGTTGTTCATCACGGGCCAGTATGTTATGAAGTGAGATACTATAGGTGGCGCTGACCCACAAAAAGAGTTAGTTAGACCTTGTAACTCATCGTGTGAAGACATGTCTTGAAACGTCAATAAGGAGTGCAATCTTGTAACACCATTCTTTTAATCTTCCATCCATTTATTGTGTTAGTGTAGTGTATTGTGTATTATCATCGTAATAAATGTTGTGTGTGAACTTCGCTTAATCCTTGAAATGTTAATGACCACAAACAGCGTCTTGCAACAACACCTCTGGATACTTGGAGCTTTCATGATCGCTCATCTACAATATGTTTTTATTCATGTAAAATTAAATTTTAAGTTATACTTTTAATTAATTATATATATATATATTTTAAATGTATTTCAGGGTCAGTGTATGCAAATATTTCAGATGCATTAACAGTTGCTTGTGATCTTATATACTGTTTTCGTGTAATTAAAAAGGGAATTTACTTGGATTTAATTTCGAGATACAATTTATTGTTGAAGAGAATGTTTGTTTAGTATGACCAAGTTTTCTTTGTTTGGCAAAAATTTAATTTGAATGCTACTGTGAACAAACACGTATTATAGTTACAATAATGCTTCAGAGATTCAAAAGTATTTTTTTAAAACAAAGTCATATGTAATTAGCAAATTTTTGTGTTTTCAAGTGGTACCATAATTAATTTACCTTCGCACAGCCAACATGCACTACGCAGCACCCGTGAAAATCGGTCTCCTGTTTGAGTAGCAACCCTATTACATTTAATGCTGTTTTAATTAAAAATAACTAATTTGTTATTCAGATAAGCTTAGGACTGGCACCAGAGCTGATATGGATGACAAATTTTTTAGAATTTAAAGAAGCACTGAACAGCAAAATTTAAGGAATGGCAAAAATTTTAGAATTTAAAACCCGCAGAGACTGCACCAGGCAGCAGAATGTCTAGTGCTGGCCCTAGATAAGCCTTAATCCTTTCCGGATGGCACCGCAGTCTGCCTTGTCGCTATGAGACAAAGTGCTGAACTTCCATGATGTCTCCATAGGATGATGAGTGCTCACTCTCTAAGCATAATTTTGCTAAAATATTCAGCAAAAATATATTTTTATTCCAATTTACTCAGTTTTTCCAAATACTAAACAGAATGCATTTACCTGTATTCTTGGTGAACTATAGAATTAAATATGTGTAGTGTTTGCAGTTGTAATCATATATAGAGGCCATGAAAAAGAAATTTTAAAGCAAACTTTCAGCATTTGTTAAATGACAATTAAAATATTTAATATACAGCAAGAAACCTACACAAGCACATGCATATATGTATTTACTGCGAAATTTAAAAATCAGCCTTCTCTGGGATATATTCTGAAGCATGGATCCATGCAGAGTTCTATGTTACATTCTTTGCACTCAAAGTAAGATGTTTTTCCCAAAGCTCGCTTCTTCTGCATAGTTTGGGAGCAAACAATTTATCTTCTCATTTTCTCTTTCTTCCCATAGGAATTAGAAATGGAAAGTACCTTTCTAAAAGATGAAATTGCATCAGTGCAGCTAATGCCCGAAATTCACATTTTCTTCTTGACATGATCCTCTCCATAATTTGTTAGATTATTTTTAATTGAAACTGAAGTAATGGTCTGTTTGTACCATTTTTTACATCATATAAAGTATGAGCGTTGTAGCTCATAATGTCGAGGAGTCCAAAAAATAATAGTTTCTTATACCATTTGAAAGATTTTCTGTAAGAGGGATAGTAAACAGAAAATGGATAGATAAGATGGATAGTGACTGTATCTCTAATATCCACTCCTCCCATATTTTTATTCTACTGCAATATACAGTTTATTTTCTCAATAATTTCTCCCATTTTGTAATTTTGTTTACTGCTAAAGCCACTGACATCATTGCTACTCAAATCTTGTAATAAAACTGTATAGTCAGGTTTTGATAAATATAGCTTTCATTTTAACATCTTTAAAGCATTGAAAAAAATAAGACTTCATTCATGCAAAAGAAAAAAAAAAAACCCTACTTTTTTATATGAAAAGAAGAAACTAATTAAAAATGACATTAATGGGAGCTATTTCTTCCTCAGAAAGCAACTGAAAAGAAACATACTTGCATAAAGACCCAGCATGCTTTTTTACATTATTGAATCCCACTATCTACCCTTCGGAATCAAATGAAACAATTCAAGAGTTCAGGCAATGTATTCCCCTTTATCTTAGTACCTTGGACATAGGGTACCAAGTGTCAGAATTAAAAAAATACAGTACAAAGTCCATAATCTGGACATCCATTATCCAGAATGATCTATAATCCAAACCTCAAGGCCACCCCTTTTTTTTTAAAATTTTTTTTATGCTTTACGTATTCACGTAATGCGTTTATGCATGTGTATATAATGTATAATGGATGGTATAAGCTAGGCTAAAATTATCTTTACTGATTCTAAGGCATTTCATTTAATGTTAAAGATTACGCTGTTCCTTAATCTTCTAATTGGATCTAGCTTATTATTTTTTGCAGACTGTTAGAGAATTTCATAAAAATTGAGCTTGAACTTTCGATTATGTCAGAAAGAGTTTCCAATTCTGGAGTTGCCAAAGGATCTACAAAGCGAAAGCATGTTTTGATGTTCATCAAACAAAAAGTGGAATTGCTGCAAAAAAATGGATAAAGGCATATCTGTCTCAAAAAAACACCAGGAGTGTGACATTGGAAAGTCAACTGTATATGACATAAAGGAAAAGGAACTTTTTAAAATTTTTTGTAGATTCCGACACCTTGCAATGAATAACAGAAAAGTTTGTTATGCTAAAAGTGATGATTGAATGGGTCAGACACGTCGCAGCGAGGGCGTGCCATTAACGAGTCCAATGCTAAAGGCTCAAGCCAAAATATTTCATGAAGAAATGAACTTAAACACTGAGTACACATATTCGACAGGTTGGTTAACCAAATTTAAAAATCGCTGTGGTATAATTTCGGGTGAAAAAGATTCAGCTGATACTGAAGCTGCTGAACAATTTGCAGATGAATTCATTGAATTCATTACTAGTGAACAATTATCTCCAGAACAAATGTACAACGCTGATGAAACTGGTCTTTTCTGTCAACATGTACCGCAAAATACCTTGGCAAATTCTACAGAAGAATAGAAAACTGAACTGAATAAAAAACAAAAAAGACTCAAACTGGTGTCAAAGATTCCAAAGCAAGACTAATAGTTTTAGTGTGCACAAATGCTGCAAGAACGCACAAGTGCAAACTTTTCGTAATCGGAAAACATGCGCGAGATCGAGCATTTAAAGGAGTAACGATTTTCCCCGTTATATATCGCCCAAATAAAACAGCATGTATGATGCAAGCGTTGATGAATGATTGGTTTGAAAATCATTTTATACCCGAGGCTCAGCTACATTTGAATTCGGTTGGTTTACCTGATGACTCAAAAATAGTCCTGATTCCTGACAACTGTTCAGCGCACTTCACTTAAAGTTTTAGTGAAAGATAATGCATCCGTATTATTCTTCCCTCTAAATTGTACGTCTATCATTCAGCATATGGATATGGGAATAATGCATGCGCTGAAATGCAAATATAAAGTAGCATTTTTAAAATCTATGTTAAATTTCTTGAACAATGGCAAGACTTTTTGAAATTTTTTAGCATAAAATCTGCTGTGTGGAGCTTTGCAAGATCATGTGAGGATGTCTCTCCAGATATGTTTAAAAATGCTTAGCATAATTTATGGCCAGCTACGATATTTCATGGTGAGGATGATGAAAATGATAGCCATGAATTTGAAGATTTTCAGACATCGTAAACTGAAGGTGAAACTTTCCAGTTATTGGATTTTGTAAAGAAATGTGGAGAAGCGGTAATAAATGAAGACGATATAACAGAAGTTTTTCATTGCAGCGACAGTGCGCCTATCATGAATCAATTAATGGACGGTGAAATCTGTAGTTCTAGTCCAGAAAATACCGCTTCCAATAGTGAAGAAGGTGACAGAGAGGTTATTGACAAGTTAGGCGATATTCTCGACACAGCAATCACTGGACTTGAACAGTGAAACTTTGTAACTGAACAAGGAATTATGTCTCTTTATAGAATTAAAGAGAAAGTATTAGCACAAAAAACTAAGCAACTTGAACAACTTGCATTGAAAGAAATGTTTAATAAAGTAAACAAATAAATATTAAGCTCTTTTTTTTTTTTTTTTTTTTTTTTTTTTTTGTAAATTTTGATACTCTTTAGATCATATTACTCTTCATTTTATAAATTACGGTTTCATATTTTTAATTGTATAATTTCTGTATGTCATCTTACCAGATTTAAATTGATGATCTATAAACCGGAATAAACCCCTATTCCGGAATCGCCCGATCAAAGTCCCGATGAGTTCGAATTATGGACTTTGTACTGTATTTATATTTTGCTCAATGTGATTGTTACATATATGTTACAGCTGCCTAGCTAGGTACTAATCCTCTGAGACGCAGCTGAGCAGTAAAGTCGCTGAACACTGGTAGTCCAGTATAAGGTCTGAATCCTGTGAACAACCTAACTGCATGGTCGTTTTCATGGTTTTTTCCATGTGTAATGTATGTACAAACCAGTTTCTCCATAGAAATTACTTTATAAAGGCAGATAGCCCTTGAAGCTTTGCCATAATCACATAAACCAAACCTATGAGAGGCAGGCGTCACACCTGCCATAGATGAACAAAATACTACCTCGGCATATACATCACACCCATCCAGAAAAAGTATAAGTAAGTCCAGTTAAGTATATGTGGGAATTTATTTATTTGGGACTTGGATAAGCATGTGCAAGTATAATAAATAACTAAAGTAATACAACTCAGGCTTAACTTCCTCGGTGCCCAATAAAGGCAAGACAAAATTTAGCAAAACAACAATGTACAGCAAAATCTGTGGTATGGTTTTGAATCCAGAAAATATCACTATTAATAGTGAAGAAAGTGACAAAGAGGTTGTTGAGTGGGGGGGGGATGTATTGACAATCTAGTTTGAATTCAAAACATTGCAGTTGCAGGCAGTTGACTTGAACAATAGAATTTTGTAACTGAACAAGAAATTATGGCTTTCTCTAAATTTAAAGAGAAAGTATTAGCATAAAAAATGAAGGAACTTAAACAACTTGCATTGAAAAACATGTTTAATAAAAGCAAATAAATATTGAACTCTTTCCCTCCCCTCCCCCTTTTTTGTAAATGCCCTTGAAATCATAAATACTTTTATTTCATAAACCACTAATTCATATTTTTAATTTTATAATTTCTACATGTTACCTTACTAGATTTAAATTGATGATCTAATATCCAAAAAAAATCCAAATGCAGAATCGTCAAAGTCCCAACGAGTTGGGATCTCAGACTTCGCATACATTTCTCAAAATTTTAATAAAATTTTTTATTCCAGTCTGTTTTAAAAGCTGTAAGTATTCTTTCTAGTATGAATTCTAAATAAATTATTTTTTTTTAAATTTCATATTCAGATATTGCTAGACCAAAATCAAATAAAAGGAATGCTGGCTTTACAGTTGAAGAAAGAGAAGGGTTCTCTGCTTTGTTAAAGGAAGGCTTTGTTGACACTTTTAGGCATCTGTATCCTGATACCAAGGATGCCTATACTTTCTGGACATATATGATGAATGCACGAGGGAAAAATATTGGATGGTGAGATTTTTTTCTGTACTTTGAATTTTATACATAGCTATGAATTTTTCACTAAATCTGAGATTTAAATGAAGCAGACTATATATTATATTATTAAAGGAGGCTTCTTGGATATGAGGATAATGTATTGTTACGAATTTTTTCTCTAGTTAGATGTTTTTTGTAGAATTATAATTAAAATTGTTGCCTTTCCCCAAGCAATGCAGCATGAGACAAATTTTGAGGGAAAACTATGTCAGAAAAGTAAAAATACAGAAGCGTGTGCATTTAATAAATGGGTGTCTCTTTAATTAGTATTGAAATTAAATAAATGTAATAGATCAGCATTTTAACTGTAACTGTAATTTCATCCTTTTATTGCTTTCCAGAAATCTCGAGAAGCAGAAAATGCTAGAACTATATCACGTGACCAATTGAAAACTATTTAAAGCTGGAAAAAGATATCTCAACTCAGTTGCTTTGCTTAGTTACTGTGAGTTATAGTTTTGCGTGAACCAAGATAAATCAGTTATCTATATCTTTATATAATGCTTTGGCATTGCTTAGTATCTTAATGTTTTTAGTATTTTAAAGTATAACTACTGATTAGATTGTGCGATATTTTGAACACTTTTACAAATATATCTAAGGAAAATTCCAGCATTTTTTTAAATAAGAATATATTTTATTAATTTTTTATCGGACTTGTGAATTCAATCTAAAGAACCTGTATGCATGTGATATATTAAATGATTTATTGATTGTGTACTGAAATCACTTATAGCATTAAATGCTCTATAAATTATGTGTTAGTTGTACATAAGTATATAAATACTTTAATTGCTAAATTATATATAGTAAAACCTTGCAAGTATTAAATACAGTGTGTTTTCTCTTATGCATGAAGGTAAAATAAGTCATATCATCAAAAACAGGCAAATAATTGAAAACTGAATTTTTTCCTCTACCCATGCAAACCAGCAGTATCTGCATATTTATTTTATTCTAATTATTTCCAGAATTTTTCATTTGTCAGCAATGGAGAGAACATAAAATCTTTTTTAAGCTTCGAAGCACTATTAGTGTCGCTGTTCTTATGCACAAGAACCATTACTGTGCTAAGTAAAAGCTTTCAAACATGAAGTGTTACAATTTAGACGAGATCGCAAGAAAAATGTTGGAAGCAAAATGGCGCAGTAAATTGAAGGGGAAAAAAATTGTGGATGTTGAAATAAAAATTATTCATGTCGACCATGGGTAATAGTATACAGAGAGATGACTTTTAACTTCAGAATGTATATAAGGTTCTTCAGATCTAATTGGTTACATCATTTTGAAATGCATATGTCGGTAGGTGTTCATGATTGCAGTTTTTACAAAGACAGTTAGGAGCTTGGTGGTTAAATGTTGGAAGATCAAACAAGAACCATTACTGTGCTAAGTAAAAGCTTTCTAACATGAAGTGTTACAATTCAGAGAGATCGCAAGAAAAATGTTGGAAGCAAAATGGCGTTAATTTTCATTAAGTTTTAAATTCATTAAGTTTGTGCAAAATGTGAATAATTGAAAAAAATCTGAATTTCGGGCCTCAAGGTGTTTGGTGGAGAACTAAATGTGTTCAAAATTTGGTGGTTCTAGGTAACAGCATTTTCCATAGTGTGAGGAACACGCGTGCAAATTCATCATTGTTTAATAATAAAGTTTCCCCCACCCCAGTGACAAGGTACTTTACATATACAAGAACATATGAAATACATAAACAAAAAATACAGTAGTGAAAGTCAATCCATCCATAGTCTCGCAAACCAATAATGCTCAGTCTTAGATTTTCTACGAATTGCAGTGCAGGTGAAAGCTTGCTGATAGGGCGTTTAAGTACATCATTCACTTTTTTATGTCTTCAACTCAAACTTTCCCATTAGCTCCTGGGTATTTAATTACATATTAACTACATAAGTGCCACCTTAACACATTGAGCGCGGCGCTGGTCCCTGGGGACCGGCAGTGAACTTTCCGTGTGGCCAAAGTTAGTTCCTGGGGACCGGTACTGGAATTTTCGTTAGGCTAGCGTCGGTCCGCTGGACCGACAGTATTAAAGTTAAAAATTAAATATAGTCTCAATGAAATGTGATCGAATTTAGTTTTAATGAAATGTATTGAAACATTCTAAACAAAAATAGGGCTTAGTTCGCTGCCAGCTGAACGGAAAGGACAGCAAATTCGACGCCTCGCTCAACGTGATAAAGATGGTTATCTTTCTTAAGTACCAAGTCATCAATGTTTAAGTTTGGTTTGTTTTTTGTCATTTTGCATATCCTTGCAATTGAGAAAGATAGGCTGATGTCCCGGATTCCAAAAGTGCTGAAATGGAAGTTGTTAAATCAGTTTCTCGCATTCAGCATGCATTACCTTATCATCGATTACATTTAGTTCAGGAATGGTTGTCAGTGCAGTTCCAGTAAAAAAGTGACCAGGCTTCAAAGCTTAAGTCATTGGGATCATTGGAGATTGTCACTATATGTCAGGAATTCAAGCAAGCTTTAGCTTCAGTTATCAAGGTGAGAAATTTTTCAAACCTGCACTCCAATTGTTCGTTTGAAGTGATTTGTCATTTGCTTAATACCATTCTCTAATAGATCCCTGAAAGGAGGGCAGAGGGAGTCTAGAATTTCCAAACAATGCTTTCTTGTGCCAATGGCATGGTTTTGGAACTTCTCAGATAATAAAATTGATGCTATATCTCTTTTTAATTCACTATTTGTACCTACAAAGTTAATCCCTTGATCAGAAAACATCTCCTATGGTTTGTCCCAACAGGCCACAAACCTTCTTAATGGTGCTTAAAAAGGCTTCTCAAGTGAGATCACTCACAACCTCTAAGTGTATTGCTTTAGCGGCAAAGCATAGAAACAGGCATATATAGCACTTGACTGGTCTTACTCATCTCCCTTTGTGGGGTTTCACAAGGGAATAGCCCTGCACAATCAAAGCCTAATGCTGCTTAGAGAAAACTCTGCTTGGTGCAATTAGAGATGCCAAAGATCAGCCATTATTTGGGATGCAGTATTTGTACAATCTCTGAAGTATTTTATGCAGTTTTTAAGAACTTTACATACACCTCTGTAGTTAATTATCCAATATATAGCCAAAATTGTAAGAGACGTTCCATCATGAAATGAGCTTCATGAAAACACAGAACTATTAATTCAGTCACATGATGTTTCTGAAGCAGAATTACCTGATGCTTTTGTTTTCAGCTATTCTTGCATTTTCTAGCCTACCTCCAATTTGAAGAATATTTTTTTCATCCAAAAAGAGATTCAAGGAGATAATTCTGTTGTTAGAGCTGATGTTTTTCCTTGCTCTTCTTAATGCCGAGATTTCGACTTTAAATTCACTTTTCTGGACTAGTGCACAATAGTATCAAGCTCTATTAAGTTCAGGAATAATTAAAGCTTCTTCAACTTTTAATGTTGAAGAATTTGTATTTTTCACAAATCTAAGACACCATGCCACTACACTTTTGAGTTTATTCCAGGATGAATATTTATTAAGAAGGTCAAATTCATTTTGATTATTGGATGCAATGCACACTACAGTTTTCTCACTGCTCTTCCAGAGAATATTCTTTAACCCTTTGGCTACATTTGATGTATCAGTATGTCATGCATTTGTTTGGGCAAAGACGCACATGTCATTCTGATACATCATCGCATCATTTGTTGCATTTGTTTGGGCAAAGACACATGTTGCTCTGATATGTCAACATCCAATTAGGAAGGATACTACCTAGCAGTGCAGAGTACCACTGTATTTACCAACCTCTTTTGAAAAGTATCACATGCTTCAAAATTATTAATAATTTGCTATTTATTATAACCAGTCTATTTGTTTAAAAGTATTTTGTAATACTAACTGCCTAAAGTTATTTCAGTATTATGTAGAAGTATATATAATGAATAATATGAAATAAATTAATTCTTGCATAAAATCTGTTCTTACTTGCCCACAAAATTAAATACGCTCCGAGTGCAAAAATATTTTCGAATAAATGTGTACCCAAAGGGTCAAGTTCAAGGTCTAAAATAGGCTCAACCCTTTGATTACTGAAGTTACCTTTTGAGAGTCACTAAAGGAATAAATATTGCATTCCTTGATGTTAAAGAGTGTTTTCAGATAATTAGCTATCCTAGCAGCAACAGTAGCTGCCATCAGTTCCAAGCACGGAAGTGTAAGCTTCTTTAGGAAAGCTACTCTGCTTTTAGATAGTGCAAAGGATGTATTCAAAATAGTGGGATTTTGAAGATATGCTGTACTACCATATCCTTTGATACTGGCATCAGCAAAAACAATTAGAATCATATTTTTTGCATTAATTGCTGAACCACACAAAAAAGTACCTTCTAGGAATATTAATCTTAACAAGATCCTCAATTTCCTTCCTTCTTAGTTCATCAGGTACCTCAGAATTCCAATCACAACCAGATTCCCATAATTCTTGAATCGTAAACTTAGCTCTAATTACATATACAGAAATTAGTCCGATAGGATCATAAATTGTGGCCACAGTTTGCAAAATAAGTCTCTCTGTTATTTTCTGTCCATGAAGTGATTCCCTGGATTGTGTTAATCTAAATTGTCTTGATCTGCATCCCACTTCAAGTCTAGAATTTTTTAGGAGTTTTTATTTAAATTATTTTCCTCAATATCTGTTTCATTTTTAATCCACAATTCTCTCAAAACTCTAGAATTCTCTTCATTTTACAAAGATATATTTTGCATCATTAAGAATATCTACCACACTAGTCGACAGATAAAAAGGCTGTATCATCATTCTCAGCCAAATGCAGGAGGTCATCTACATACAACATACAGGAAATTATCTAGCACTTCTACAACATCACTATGTTCCTCTTTATACACTCATGTCCATAAATTAAGGATAATTCGGAGTCACACGGAAATCGAACTCTAAAATAAATATATCACATGTAAAATCACTACACACATCTTCAAGAATCATATGCAAATTTCAGAAAGTAACCAGATGACACTGATGGTACGTCACGATGACGAGAGTGTAAGAAAGTGATATATAAGGAATACAGGCAAAGAAGTAAATTGTTCCAAGGCGCTTTTAAAGCATTTCAGTGCAATGACCGAAAAGTTATGACACAAAGGATGCATTTGGATGATTTTTTACGTGGTAGAATTATCGGCCGTCTGGAATGTGGGCGTACCCAACTGGAAGTATCAGAAGAACTTGGAATTGCTCAGAGTGTCATCTCCAAGCTTTGGCAACGATTACAAAAGGATCGTAATGTGAGTAGACGTTACAGCACAGGTCGCCCAGAGTTACAATGCCGAATGAGGACCGGTATTTGGCAGTTACTGCCAAAAAAAACAGGCAGAGCATAGCCTCAGACCTGTCTCTTCAGCCACTGGTACGACATTTTCAAGGCAGACCGTGTACAGACGCTTAGGGCAGATTGGTCTATATGCTCGTAGACCTGTCAGATGCATTCCACTTACTGCAACTCACTCTCGCCTGTGGTTAGCCAGGAGTAGAGAGCATGCATTGTGGACACCGCAACAGTGGGCTTGTGTGATGTTTTCTGACGAGTCCAGGTTTAGCTTGCAGTCTGATTCTCGCCGGACTTTCATATGGAGAGCTCCAGGTACCTGTTACCATCAAGAAAACATCACTGAGCGACACTGTTACGGTGGTGCAGGGGTGCTCGTTTGGGGTGGAATTATTCTGGGTTCCAGAACTGATCTGCATGTTCAAATTGGAACTATGAATCTATCGGGACGTCATTCTGGAACAACATGTACGTTTGTTTCGGGGCACCATGGGCGCACAATTTGTGTTTATGGATGACAACACCCGTCCTCACCGTGCAAACATCGTAAGCGAATGCCTTCAATTGGAGGATATCGCCCGTATGTCTGAACAGCATTCTCACTGGACTTGAATCCAGTAGAGCACGTGTGGGACATGTTTGGCCGACGAGTTGCAGCCCATCAACCTCCTCCTACATGTCTACCGGAACTTCGGAGAGCATTGCTTTTTGAGTGGTGTAATATTCCCCAAGATCAGATCGATAATCGATAATTTGATACTCAGCATGCCTAGGCATTGTACGGACTGTATTGCGTCGTCTGGGAGACATACAATGTATTAACAATCATACCAGCCATGTAATATTGGTTTTTTAAAAATAGGTTTTTTTTTTTTTTTTTTTTGTAATTTGCTCCAGGGAGAAAAAATCGCTAATTTTTTTAATAATATCAAACATATAGCATCTTTTTTTGCTCTTTACCTTTTGTTTAATAAATAAGCTTTACAAATAAGTCAAATTTGTTTTGCTTCTAACTCTTCCTTTGCCTGATTTTGCATTATCCTTAATTTATGGACATAAGTGTATTTCTTTATATCATATTTAATAGTTACCGCAAGCGTTAAAAGTGATTGACAATTTTTAAATCATGACATTTTGTATATTGGAAATGGCGGTTTTTTATCATTACCGAACAAAATCAATTAGACGATATGCACAGCAGTAATTGTCTTGTCAAGGTGAATTACAGGACTATACAAAACAGCTTATCTGTTCTTTTTTTTTTTTTTTCCCCATTTTTCTGTTGTCAAATAAACTTTTGACTTTTCTGTTCTTTTTATAGGCAAATTTAATTATTTTGAACAGTGGCTCAATTTGGAACCTAAATCAATTAAGACTCGAGAAGTCATTCGCTTTTGTTTATATTGAGGAATGATGAACAAGTTTGTAATAATATGGATTTTTTATTCAATTGCTTAGTAGGCAAGAAAATTTTGTTTCATTCGCACCCGTCTTAGCTTTATAATTCTCTACTTCAGGTTTGTTTTTAGATAAACAAAAAAGTTTAATATGGGATGATTTTTTGCAAATTTCACAATCTTCTATACACGTTCTACAGTAAACTGCTCTGTGTTTTTTAAAGCATTGGTAACACAATTTGAATTTTTTTAAGTGTGTTTGTTTCTGATTATCAGTGTATTTTATACATCCAAGAGAATCACGTTCTTTATAAGTATTACAAAAAACCACAAAGTTTCTTAACAGAAGTATTAAATGTAGAAGGTGATCATTTATTTTTATAATTTTTGAACCTCTGTTTTGGATTAGTTTCCATATATTTATTTCTTTTTGAACTATTAATCAACATGGTGACTTCTCTGCATTCAATTTCCATTTTAATGAATTCTATTAATTCACTTACTTTAATATTTTTCTTAGATGATCTGTTCTCATGAAATTCAAGAGTTAAATCTTCAAGTAACAACTTAAGAATTTTTGGGTTCAATAACAGGCCATATGAACCACTAGTAACATCCACATTGTTTAAATTTACATAGATTTGTAACTGTACATAACAGATTTGTAACTGAACGAGAGTTTCTTAAATCAAAAACTTTAGAACTTTTAACTGGTTCTAACTGTTAGAGCATTTGCATAAATTTTGATATAACAACATCTTTACGACCAAACCTTTCTTCTAAACTTTTAATAAGTGTATCATAATTTTCTAGCCAGCTACACAATTATATATGGAACCAGATAATAAGCCATTCGGTTATGCAAGTTTATATATTTTGGATAAGCCTGGATTGGAGTGACTTTCATTAAAATATGAATTTAAAAACATCAAGCCATTTAATGGGATCACCAGCGAATTTTCTAAATCCAATTTAGGTAAATTTATTGAAGCAGCACTTGCAACAGCATTGTTGTCATTCCAGATTGCTGCTAATATCAATGCTTTCAACAACTTTATCACTATTAATTTTCTTTATTTTTGTAACAATCTTAGCTTTACATTATGATTATAACTTTTTGGGGGGGTCGTACTCTTTTCATATGCAAGTAGCTCATTATCATATTGTTTTTTATAAGTTATTAGAACATCAATCTTTGAGTCAAGAGATTTAAGTTTCTTGTGATATTAAATTGAGACCACATGTGATGAGCTTAAATTTTCCAAATATTCTTCATTTAATTCCGCGAAAAGTAATTTCTCAAGTTTATTTAGAAATGTGGTAACTTTGCTACATGCAATACAATGTTTCTTTTTTGCTTTTCCTAGATCATCTGTCATGTTTTGTTTCAAAGATGATAGCTAAAAAATAAAATAATTCAAAATAAAATCATACCGACCAAATTATAGTTTAAAATCCTTAATCTCTTTCTTGTAACATAATTGTATAGTATTTACTCATTCACTTCTCATCCATAATAATGAGCTCTTTCAGAAAAGAAGCTTCTTTATTTCTTTTCAGCAAAAAAGCATATTCTCTCTGTAAAGTATGGGCTACCCATACATTATAGTAGCTTACATATCTAAGCTTCTTCAAATGATCAAAAACTACACTTTTTGAAATATTTAGTCTGTCTGATAGTTCCTGAACTGCATAATGTAGATTTTTAACAATCACTTCTTTTAATAGGTCCTTGTTTACTGAGGATTAATCAATCGCCTTTGAACTTTGTCATCAGAAGCAACATTTTGTATTTGTGTAGCACAAATTTTATAAGCTATTAGAAGATTAGATAGATTTTTGTTAAATGTGTATATATTTTTATAGTGCTAGGAGTTTACTTTTTTGGCTTACAATGTTTTCTTTCCTCCCATTTAACAGAACACAGATTATGAGCTGAATTATGCACAGAATATGTTATAATATTAAGCAATTATTCAAATTTCTGCTTTTTCTAATACAGCTGGATTTTTCATGAAAACATAAAGATATGAGGTGGAGATCAGTATATCTTCATCATATAAGACGTGTATAATAGTGTGCCAAAACAAATTGTGTCTGTATTTGTTGACTTTGTTAGATATGTGTTATGAAAACGTATTAATGTTGCAAATATTGGATAAAATTAATATATTTCTTTTAACAGGAGATTGGATTACTTTGTCATCTCCGAGAAGTTAACAGATTCTTTGTGTGATAGTGTGATCCGAAAAGATGTATTTGGCAGTGATCATTGTCCAGTAGCTCTATTCTTAGCCATTTAAATTTGAACCAATGTATTACAGCATTTTTCATCATCTCATTTTTAATATTTTCACTACATATTGTGGTACTGAACTGTGATAGTTTCAATTATGTGTCAAATAAAAATTTTAGATCAAGTGCATGTTTATGTTGTGCATCGATAACATGTAAGTCAATTACTCTCCAAAGTTCCTGTTATAATCAAAGCAGTTGAAGATATTTTAATGTATTAATTTTGAATTTTAAGAAATAAAAATTATTCATTAACTTATGGTGTTAAAAATGGAATTTCTTGAATTGGATTGTATTTTCCATGATGTAAAGTGTACTCTGTTCATTATTTTTACAGTTTACTGTAACAGTTATTTTGATTTTGATAAGTAATCAGTTTGAAGTGTATGTTTATGTATGCATGTAAGCAGATGAGAGGGTAAAATAATTAGAATTTGAAAAACATATTACATTTTTCAGTCAATATGTATAGATAACCCTGAAAATGTTTTATTTCTGGTAACACACATTGAAGTGTAGTGACATCATGCTATTATGTTGTAGGCACAAGCCTTGTGTTATATGGCAATAAATATAACAACATTTAATTGTGTTAATATGTCAACACAAAAATGAAATTAATGTTATAGTACTTCCTAGCTGTAAAATTTAGATATGTTTATTGCCACAGAAAAACTGCTGATGTCTGCAGCTTTCATTTCATAAGTTTTATGTTTTGCATCTGTTTTTTATTAGTTAAGTGAGATTCATAATGGACACAGCTGGGTGACAAACAGCAAAGCTGGTGACAACATGACAGTGTCATCTGGTTAAAACATAGGAAAAGATGAACAAATTATATGGTATGACTGAGGTGGATAAGTAAGTTATATATTTGGAAATTCCCACATCTCTTGCCATAGTATGAGTCAAGTTCAATCTTGTATCTTCACTTGACTGTTTTGTTGCATATGGATCTCCTATGAACTGAGTACAGGTCAAAAGTACCCACATATTCATTTCTTCATGAAAATGCTTGAAAAATTTCATCTAGAGCAGTCCCTTGTTTTATGGCATGGTAAAATGTATCAAATTTTGTATGTTATGAGACCAGAATAAATAGCAGTTGGCAAAATGTGTCTTTCCAGATGAATCTTTATTAACAAAATCAAGAGACTGCTATTCTGAGAAACAGATGGTTGCCAAGTTTTAATTGTATTGCTTGACGGATATCATACTATCAGTGTTGAATGGTGTATAGCTGTTCATTTAGCTGTGGTTCTGTGAAAAGTTCAGAAAGATCATTGCATTATTACAACTATATGCACAAAGAAATATTTTTCTATCTTTAACAACATCAATAGGTGAATCATCTGGTGTACAGCCCAGTCTTACCCATCCTGACTTTTTAATGTCTTAAAATCAAGACATACTTTTGCAGAATGTTCATTTGCTTACATCCATTGCAACATTAAGTGCTTTGGTTCGATACATGGGTGTTGCCTTCTAACATTTGGAACTACTGCTTTCAGAAATGGCACGATTGAATTTAAAAGAATCTCAACTGCAGTGGAGCATATTTTTAAAAGGTATGTGCATGCATAGAGTTTACTCTTCCCCCCCCCCTTTTTTTTTCTAAGAATTTTGTGATACTCAAAGAATAAGTATAAACAGAAGTAAAAAATGTATGAACGAAAGCAAATATAAGCAGTGTTCTTGTAAGAAAAATGGAAGTAAATGTATAAAACAATGCTGCTTTGTTTTAATTGGGTAGCCTTGAACTGAGGAGTAAGTGATAATTTTTGGTTAACAGAGTGCCAGTTGATATATGTACAGTGCGCAAAAAAAAAAAAAAAATGAGACGGTTCTATATCTCCCGTTCTACTGGGCCGATTGACAAAATTCAACTTGCGTTTTTCATGTCTCGAAAGCGCGACTTAGGATATGTATTACTTTTATATATAGCATTGTTCTAACATAGGTATTTTGACACAAAATCGGACTTTTCTGAATTAACATACCAATTTTTTTCTATATTTTGACTCTACGACTAGGATTATGCCTAGATATTAAATTTTGTAAAAGTTGGTGCGAAATTTAGGGAGAAATTCAAAACTTTATCTTGGCACCATTTTTTTCAGTTTGCACCAAGAATAATTCACTTAGCAAACTTTTTAACATATGGCAACCAATTTTCCTTTTCCTTCCATTATGCCGCAACGAAAAAAATGGCACCTCGTTCCTATCTTTTTACATTGTGCAGGAGCAGAAAAAAAGTCACATCCTTCCTACTTACAAATAATTTTAGCAAAATGTCTAAACCACATTTGATGTTTTATCGCTTTCAACAAATATGCCAAATTTCAAAACGCGCCAATGTATAAATTCACGTATATCTTCGGAAATTTTGAATAAAAAAACTAATTTTTTGCAGGTATGCTTAGAAATACGTCTACTTTAAGATGATGGTAAAAATTTTATAGATTACAATTCAAAAATTTTTTTTGAAAAATTTCTAATAATTATTTTAAAATGCAAATTTTGAAAATAAATCATGAAAAAGGTGTGAATTTTGTTTGGAATGAACCTGAATTTCGAAATGTGAAAGGAAGAATCAAATAAAACTAATAAAAAGAGATTAATAAGTATATGCCAAACTCAATTAACATTGAGGAGCTAATTTTTTAAAAACCACTCGTATAATTTTTTTTACAAAACTGGTAGTTTGGCGTAATTTGAGTCATAGAATCAAAATATGGAAAAAAAAAAATTGGTATGTTATTTCAGAAAAGTCCAATTTTGTGTTAAAATACCTATATTAGAACAATATAAATCTAATACATATCCTAAGTCGCACTTTCAAGACATGAAAAACGCAAGTTGAATTTAGTCAATCAGCCCAGTAGAACGGGAGATATAGAACTGTCCTTTCCCCCTGCACAGTGTACCTCAAAGTATCAAATGTATCCATTTCATCTCAGAAATAGTTATGCAGTGTCATTATAAATAAGTGGGAAAAATGAATGTTAAGCCAATAATTTTTTCCATTGACATTTTCAGTTGCTTTTTTGTAGAAGTGCGCTCCTAAATTAAAAAATTGCTATAAATTACTTGATCTGGCAATTGCTAAATTATCAATTTCTTCCAAGGTAGAGATATAAATCCTGAAAGACTTTGTTCAGAAAATCCTTTATGTTTTACTATTACTGGAGCTGCAACTGCAAAAAAGCTGAATAAAAATTATGTTGCAAAAAGAAATAATTACTCAGTGAATGTTAGTTTATAAAACTTTATGGATTCCTTTATTTTCCTTTTATTTACTTTTGGTGCTAGAGCTTTGCAGAAGCTCTAGCACCAAAATTTGCAGAAAATATATTGCAGAAGCGCCATCAGAAATGCATCACTATACAGCTGTTAATGGGAATAATTGCATATGTTTTTATTTATGAATTTGCTTTTGTATTTATTTTAGATTTAATACAATAAACCTTTTTTATAAAGGTATGTATACTATTAGGGTTGCCTTCCTATCTCTAGTTAAATTTTGCACCAGTATTTCCATCTGGTGCTGAGTGATGCCATATTAACCAGAAGCTCCATAAAAATTTGAAAGGCTTGCAGCAAGAAGGGCCCAGCTCCACATTTTAAATTTTTGGAAAAGTTTTTAAAAAAATTCATTTTTTAAATTATGTTTTAAATGAATGAATCACATAACCTATCAAAGTAATAGAAATCTTATTGCATGTATTCAAGAAAGCAGAATTTAACAAAATGCTACAGAATCATCAAGAGGTGTAATAAATGGATGAACTGCAATCAAAAGTAAAGTGCAAGTTTTTTTTTTAAAGTCCATGCATTTTAAGTCCATTCTGCATGTATTCAAGAAAGCAGAATTTAACAAAATGCTACAGAATCATTAAGAGGTGTAATAAATGGATGAACTGCAATCAAAAGTAGAGTGCAAGTTCAAAGGGGCTATTTCCCTGACATGTACAGTCTGAAAGCTTTCAGATTGTACATTACACCCAAAGAGGCTTTTTTAATATTTAGTGTAAAGGGGCTTTGTCAATGAAGGACCATTGTTTTCGATTTGCAGTTTTGCACTGAAAACTTTAAAAGGCTGTATCATTTTTCAAATCGTTGCCACCAAATACTGTCGCCTGTATTATATTTGAAGAAATTAAATAACGAAGAATCTGCATAACTGTAGTATGTATGTTTCTCACATTGTGATAAAACAACAGTACCTAGAGCCATCCAATTTTGAATGATGTAATCCTACTACGAATATAGCATCTGAAAGCTCAAATTTGCAATTTCTTTTATTATCGATTTCATATTTTGTAAAACTTTAACAAATTTTTATTAAGAAACTCAACGATTTAAAAGCCACAGTGGCAACACTCTACAGGGAGGGAACTTTTATCTCCAGCATGCGGAACTGTGCAGCGGAAATTCTAAAGATATGCTCATTTTCAAATTATTTTGCGACATTGCTGTTGAACTGAATTTTATGGTTTAAGTGCAAAGAACATGATATTTTATAAATAAAGATAACACACAAAACGTTAAAAAAATGTCCCTTTGGATGTAATTTAAAACCTGAAACCTTTCATATTTATTTATTTTGCTTTGTTTTGTTTTAAGGATAATAAAAAGTGTTCTTTTAGCCCTAGATTTGAAGCGGGTAATAAATTGTTTTAAACTACGTCAAGCTTCCCCAGCAACAGTTAAAACCACTGAAAGAAAGAATACTGATAGTTTGACAAGTTATGTGATTCATTGTTTTCCTGATATGTAATAAATGTAAATAAAAGCTGCTTTTGTAAAAAAGCTTAAGATGAAGGAGTGCCTATAAATAAAGCTAAAGATGAATGACTGTTGAAAGTCCTTCATATAGTATATACTTCTAGATGGGTATTGCTTAAATGCTTTATACCTAAATAATGAAACATATAAATTAAGGTTGAAATTTTGTTGAGTCAACAATAAAAACTGAAATTTATAGGATAACAAAATTTATTTAATGTGAAGATTAAAAACGTGGACAAATGCAAAAATTAAATCTGTATGTGTTCTTGAAAGGGTGATGTGATCTAAAATATGCATCTCTGAGTTCTTTGAATTCTGCTGATATATCTTGGTTATTAGAATCATAGAAATAACTGTGTGGTTTATATCTGTTTGAGGACTCAGGAGGAAGTATAAAATCATTAAGAAATTGTGCACTATCCAGTGGTGTAATTTTCAGTTCCTCCATCAATACTGTATCTGATGTCTCATTAGATTTTTCATTTGTTTCATTTTCTTTGATGTTGTTGAAATCTCCTTGCTGGAAAATATTATTTTCTGGAAGTTCTGTAGTTCTTTGAGTTGCTATATTGTTTGTTGGTTGAATCTCATTCAGTGCTAAGATTTGATGAAGAGAAACATTTTGTGGCAAAGTGATCTGTTTTTCCTTCTTAGTGCTTACATATTGTAGCCTGTCTCTTCCCTTAATTAGAGTGCTTTCTGTGTGTATTTTTTCTTGTATTTTTGAACCACAAGTTAATGATTGATTTACTACTTCTTTATGCTGTTGTAGTTTTGCTACTTTTGATTTGATTTCACATTTTCTGTTCTCATTATCTTCTACACATTGTCTTAAGGACATAGTGGCATTAGTCTTCTCTGTTGCACTTTTTTGTATGTATCTTCTTTGTTTCCTCTCATAGCTATGATCATTTTCATTGTCTTTGATTTTCTGGGTATGCTTATTGATGGGTGGTCTACCCTAAGAAAAGGAAAAATAATTAATATTTTGTATATAAAAAAAAGATTATATACATTTAGTGAATATTAATAACCTCTTACATATATAATTTTCTCAGAAATTATAATTGCATGTATATTTTAGTAGTTTTTACAATTACAGTAGCAAGTAATACATCATAATATTTGTAAAACTGCAAGTTGTGCTTAAATAACTTGCACTGTTTTAGATGTTAGTCAAGTCCAAATAGTACTTAAGTAAAAGTGTGCGATTTAAAAAATTGGCATTTAAAAAAAAGTATTGTCTTTGCATTTAAAAGACATAATTTCTAGGCAGATAGATTATAGGATTTTTATTTAAATATGCAAGTATTTAAGGACTAGTAATACGCAGAAGTTTGTGAGAAAAGCAGCTCTATTTGCAATAGTTTGGGTACTCTAACTAAAGAAATTTGTGTAACCTTGATTGCTTGCTAGTAAAATAGTCTTGCAATTGTTACTAAGTGTCAAACTACACCTTCTTATTTAGGTATGTATATTAGTGATGTATCATCAAACTTTAATGAAAGTATCTGGGGGACATTTCAAATAACTGGAAGTGCATGTTAATGATGCTTATGATTTGGTAAACTCTTAGGAATATTTGTAAACATGTATATACAAGGTTTGTCTAAAAATATCCAACTTTGGAATTTTCCTGTGCATAGTGGAAAAAGACACCTTAATGGGCATGCTTGAATTTGGTCTGTGCATGCATGTGTGCCAGTCACCGCTTGCTTCCCACCGAGTGAGTTGCTGATATACATATTCATCAGTTCATTTACTTCTCTCAAGGTAACTAATCTTGAGTTTCTGAATACCATAATAAATGGAGATTAGTCAGGGGTGTATGAGTCCACCCCAGAAATAAAACTGCAGTCGTCTCAGTGGAAGCACTTTAGCCAGTGCCAGTCCTTGGCAATTCTGGCATCTGGCGATGAAATTCTCAGTACAGGCTGGATCTAACTGTTGCTGCATGGTTGGTGTGTGGGCAAGTTCACTGCAGCTTTGCAGGTACCATCTGTCCATTCTTCCATCCTGACAGAGTGGACATGTGGCACTGTCTGCCGGACCAAAGCTGTGCAATTTGGCTCAGAGGTAGTCTGCCCAATGCACAACCTGAATTCTGCCATGGTGAGTGGTCTGGGTAGAATTTTTGGAATTGGACCTTTTGCAAGTAAGCTGTCCCATTTCTTTCTTTGGCCCACTGCTCATGAGCTCTTGATTTTGCTTTTAACTGAGGCTTCATTAATGTGCTTGGCCGATATTAGGAAGGTTGGCATGTCTATTTGCCAGAGGGTTGTTTCCTTCTTAGCTAATTCATTCCTGTGGATACCAGCATGATATTGAGTCTGTCGTTGGTGGATGATCCAACCAATTGGTGATAAGTTTTGTGAGGATTTCGTGTTCATTGTGGGTCCTATTGCAGTTAATGGGTGCATTGCTTACAAGAGCTGTGATGGCTATTGTGAATCAATTAGGAACACCACATGCAAATGTTTATTTGATCCTGCTGTTTTCTTACTTCTTCAGTCTTGGCCTGGATCTGTCAATACAGACATGTAGCCATTCTTCTTCCGAGTTCCTCATGTAGATTATTTCAAGAGCCAGTTTCTAAGTTCTTCAGAGATTGCCATTTTTTTTGGGTGCTGTTTGCTATAGAAGGGATATGTGTTTCACAGGTAACACTATGAAAACAGCTTGATGATGCTTGAGAGACTCTGGTGTGCCCATGTTAAACTTCTACTTCATTTTTTTAATCGTTCAGCATTTAGTATAGGAGTCACTTGAGTCTTGAGTCTGGCACTAACTGGTCTGTAGCTGTTCCAGTGTATATGATCAATGCGTCTTGACCCCAAAAATTTAAGAGCGAGCTTATTCTTGTTTCGAGAGGTCTGGTGTTACTGGAGTTGAAAGAACACCACCGGTTGTAAGCTTCAAGGTGTTATTCTGAAACCTTGTCAAGCTTTTTAAGGATGGGATTGCTGGCCAGGGAGATCGCTGCATGCATAGTCCATAGTTGGTCTGACTATGTTTTATATGCAGTTGTGAGAACCTGTTGTGTCCAGCCCTACTTTATCTCAGTGAGTCGTTTGGGAACAGGGTTCATAGCGGTCCTTACAAGTGCTTATAAGTCCTTATATTTGAAAATAAAATATAAAGGCCCTTATAGGTGCTGCTTACTTTTTCTTTAAAGCCCTTATTTTTTGTTTTCAGTGCTTATTTTTTGCTTTTAGTCCTTTTTTTTAATCGTTTGTTTTTAATGAACTCGCATTTTTTCCCCGTACTAAAGCCGAAACTAAATAAACAACTTTTCTTCCTTATATGCAATGTCAGATGGTGAATCATACTCCCAAAAATTGCTTTCCCCCCCTTCCTCTGCATTAACGTAAACCTATGGTGCGCGCGAGAGTACAGACAGGTGCACGTTGTTCTATTGGCCAAAGAATTGCGAAAACGTAGAAAATTCCGGTACATTCGGTATTCTTTTCCTCCCACCCAAATACTACACATGTTTGAATTTCTATCAAGATTTTAATAATTTGCATTCTCATTCCGCGTGGTCAGTTCATATTCGTGTTTATTATGATCGTTATGCTTATATTATGAGCATATGTATGAATATTTATAATAATATAGTTGCAGTAACTGCTGAAGTATAGATAAACTTCCAAAAAATGGGTGTTTTTTTTACACAGATTAGCTTTCTAAGGATAATATTCGGAATGGCTTAAATAAAAGGAAAGTAATCGAATAGTCAAAATAATTTCATTTTCTTTGCCAATACATTATACAGTACGGAGGTTGGGAGGTTCTCCGCAAAACCTCTAATATTGAAGCAGCGGACTTTTTTTGTCACTGTCCAATCTGGATTGAATAGGACGAAAAGTTTTTGCGGTCTACCCAACCCAAGCGAAGATTGATTCTATTCCGGAAATTTAATATAGTCTGTTGAAAATTAGAATCAGAAACATCCCAGATTAGTAAGTCTCTTTCTTTTCCTTTATTTAGTTCTTTTTTGTCCCAATACCGGCAGGTGTTGATTCCGATGCGTAATATCACATATGGAAGAACTACGCCGCACGTATTGCGCAATAACGTTTTTGGTATTTTGCATTAATTAATTAATTTTGATGTTCAGTCTGAGATTTGCTTATGAACACTTAAAAGAGTTTTACTGTGCTTCTAAGCAAAATATTTCTCAGTTCCGTTGTTTTTTATATGATGCACATATCAAAATGTCAAAATCATTTATTTAGCCTAAATTTAAATCTAAAGAACGGCTACAATCTCTCCCCACTCCTCTTTTTCCAGTTACTATCCGGAATATTCGGGAATTTCCGAGTATGCGGGTTAGTTAAGCTTTTACTGTTAAAGGATGACTGAATGAAGCAATTTCCCGTCTTCTGATTTCAGAAATATGCCTCTTTTTTACTTAAATTACTTTGCTTGGGATATATGTTAAGGGAAAACTGTTATGCAATGAAAATTTAGAAAATGTTCAGAATTTTTGATTTAGTTAAATTATTTAATATTAATGAGTGGAAAATAATTGTATTTATTATTAGGTGCCAAACGAATACAATTAATATGGCTTATTATTATTTATTTTCTATATTTTCAACTGAAATATCATCATTAAATTTTGTAATATAGTTTAGTTCTGCATAGTTTTTTTTTCTCTCATTGTAAAGTAATTCTGTAAATTGAATTGTCATTTAAAATTTAAAAAAAAAAAAAAAGTTAATTGTTTTCCATTGTTGAGGTAATGCTCGTTCTCTTAATAAATATTGCATTGCTCATATTTTAAATTGCAAGACTAATTTTTCTTTTAAGGTTATGCAGTTGTGTATAATGTAATTAGGCAGGTGCTTATTTTTTCCTTAAAAACACTTGAAAAGTGCTTATAAGTGCTTATTTTTTTACTAAAATGTGGCTATGAACCCTGGGGAAGGTTTAATCTGTTCTGGCACTCAGCAATATCTCCAATGTAGTTATTCCACGAAAGTTTTGTTTCCAGCCTAACTCCTAAGTATTTGGGAAGCAAGATGCCATCTAGATTTGCTGCTTTCTAAGCCAGCTAGAAAGCAGCAAATCTAGATGGCTTTTTAACTAAATTTTTTTAACTAAAATGTGGCTATGAACCCTGGGGAAGGTTTAATCTGTTCTGGCACTTGGCAATATCTCCAATATAGTTATTCCATGAAAGTTTTGTTTCCAGCCTAACTCCGAAGTATTTGGGAAGCAAGATGCCATCTAGATTTGCTGCTTTCTAAGCCAGCTAGATTTTCAGCAGTTTGGTTGATAGAATAAAAACTTAGTATACTATTGTTTCGGGTCTTACCGTCATTTTATTGTAATCTGCCTATTCTGCGATTTGTTTAAGAGTAATGTTGTCAAGCTGGGAGATATTTCTATCGGTAGCCCACAGAATAACATCATCAAAAAGGTACAAGACACCAGATGTCTTCTCACTTGCTATCCTTATATCTCTAGCATGACTCTGAGGATGGCCCGCTGTGGAAGGCATTGTCTTAGTTACTTATATTGTGATGTTGAATTTGAAATTTTATTTGGATGAGGCATTATACTAGGAAATTTTTTATCCATTTCAGCATGTTTTCTGTCGCTCTGTGTTCTCTCAGCTTACACAAAAGGAGTTCTCTCCAGATTTTATTATAGGTCGCTTTGAAATCAATCAGGACAGCCAAAGTGGACTGTTTACAATGGAATTCTTCCTCAACTGTCTGTGTGAGCTTGACGACTTGGTTAACTATTGAATGATGTTGGTGGAAACGCACCTGCTTGTTGCTAATCTCCTGCTTGTCCCTTGTCTCTAAGAAGTTTTGTAGCCTCTGCTCAACTATTTTTTCTGCTATTTTTTAGCATGTGCTGATGAGCTAAACAGGCCTGTAGCTGCTGACATTATTTTGTGATTTGTTTTTCTTATAGATTTGGATTATTTCAGCCTTCTTCCATTGG